GAGGCACTACCTCTACATGTTAGGCAGCTGTGCCACCTCCTGTCCCCGATGACGTCCCCTTGACCTTGATGGTTCTTTGGGCACAGTTTCATTTTAATAGTTAATGAAACACAGTACACGGTATTTTAACAGTATGAAGTACTGTGATTTAAAATATATACATATCATTAAGTCAGGTAGTGCCTTGATAAGTAATGTATAATGGACTCTGTAATAATGCAAAATAAAATGTGACATGCGACGCCTGAAAGGAGAGACCTCAAAATGCGAGCAATCTGCAGCAAAACTGCAGCTGGTAGCTGCAGCAGTCAGACTTGCAGTGGCCTGGCAGTGGCCATGTTTTTCCTCAGTGGATTTTAATGTTTTCAATGTTAACACAACCTTTTGACCTCCAGAACAAAGAGGCTCCAAAGCACCCCTGTTGCGTTAACCCTCACTTCCAGGCAAGCCGCTGAGACGCGCAGCGAATGCAGAGACGCTTGTGGGAGTTTTCCTGGAAGTGACGTCCTCTCCCATCTATGACCGGCGGGAAATGCTCTGCTGTGAATTCCTGTCATTTGGTATCACTTCGCCTTCCAGTCAGGCTCATTTAATGTAATGTCTCCATGTCGTTTGTATCCTGCGACCTTATTAAAGGCATATCGAGTTCTTCTCAGCTTCTGTAAATGATAGGGAGAATCGATAAAACACTGATTTGGTGTGACAGTGTTTCTCAGTAAACATACAGGAGGACAGTGACTTTCTGTGAGTGTGTTCATGAAACCGGATCTGGTTCGGGGAGTGGGATTTTCACCCAATATACAGAGCCATATGCCCCACACACCACTGTGACAATCTGCCTCTTTCAGTTACTCTGTGAATATGTCATTGCTGTGACACTATCACTCCGCTCACTGTTTAACTTGGTGTAGAGAAGAGGCTATTTCTCCATGCTGGGGGAACTAGGATGCCCTGCAGAGGTCTGCACATGTCCGTGTCGTACCTGCCTGCCGTCTGACCTGCTCCCAGCCTGCTTGATGCGAGTCCATGGCTCTCGCACACCCCGAGAAGGATAAGTGCTGAGGTGATGTTGAGAGAGAGCTGGTGGGATGTGCTCCAGTCCGTGACCAGGCACTTTTAGTGCGCCTGAGCAATGTGCCCTGCTAATCTGCACCTCTGATTTACATGACTCCCCTACACGAGCGAGGTGTGGACCTGGCAGAGTCCGAGATCTTCACCTGGATCGGATTCCATAATCAATAAACCCCAAGTGGTGTCAGCATCGATACGTTGCATTCACTGGTCAGCCTTCGGCGTGCGTCATTCTCTAGCCAGACTATGTTTTATGGGAAGGGAATCTTTACTGAACCTCACTGACAGTGAAACATATGAGAAGAACAACTGTTATGGTTATAACTCTGCAAAGGGGCCGTTTGTGTACTGATGTTGTTTTTGCCTGATCTGGGGAATTGCATCATCATTTGTGCTGGAGGTTTAGAAGAGTGTAATTGTACAGGGTCAGTCTGGATTTAGGTAGGTTCTCTAAGTTTTATACACACAGCCAGACTGACAGCAAGCTGCCAACAGACCAGTGCCAAAAATGGAATGAATTCCGAAATCAATAAGATTTCACATGCAATTTAAGAGTCATTTTGTTAGCAGGATTGTCAGTTTGACAAAAGAGAACCTCAGCTCCAACTTTCCCTGCTACATATAGACCACTAACTTTTTCAAAGGTGATTTTATGGTTATTGTTCAGACCAACATAACTCTTTTGTAATTTGTCTTTTTAGAGAGAGTCAAGACGTTTCCAGCTGATGCAGGACGAAGAAATCCAGGTCGATTCCCAGCTTGAGAGCAACACAAACTACATTTAGGGAACTCCATGCATCTATAATGCTCTACAGGTACAAATTGTGAATACAGACTGGCATACTTTAGATGGGCAATGTAGACTTCATTAATGAATGTAATTATGCTTCATTTCTGCACAAAGTACAGATATATTTCTTTTTTCCCCCCACATATCCCAGGGGCCAAGCACCTCGCCCAAGGGCGTTTCAGGGGGCCAAGTGCCTCCCCCAAGGTCG